TTAGTGCAAGACACTATGCTATTGCCAGAAAAGCAGCACCTCCTTTCCTATCTGAAGCAAACTTTACTTTGTTGATACATTTTAAAATAAATTTCTCAAATAGACATCATATCTGGGGTCAAAAATGCAAAAACCTACAGGAAACTGTCAGGTATTGTAAATAAACCTGCGTCAGGTCATAAGACCCTAGAGGGTCCGAGGGACTGAACAACTCTCACCAGAAGTAGTTGCTCATCAGCTCCTGTTCGCATTGCCTTTTGTAGCTACGGGTCACTAAAATGAGGATGTTTGTCTGCGTGTGTGCGTGCGTGCGTGCGTGTGTGTGTGTGTGTGTAAATTTTTCTAATTATAACATGGTAAATATTGCAGTTATTAAAAATATTTGCTGATTGGATCCATTTCATGGGTCGTTAATTTGTGACCTCTGATAGGAAAAGAATGTAAAATTGTATTATGAAAAATGTCCTCAACCTTTTACAACACTCAAGGGGATTTCATATGACTAGGTATTGTGGTGATTATTGGATAAATTCCAAGTATGTAACAATAAAAACTAAGTCCATGAAAGTGAATTCATGAGGTCTCTGGTGTAGTAGTCTTCCTCATGTCTTATCTGATGCAAGATTAGAAATTAAAGCACCCAAAAAAATGAGTTAGGTGCATATCTCTTGCCAGTCTTCCCTGTTATTTCTCCTAATGGGGCTTTTGAATAGCTGATTTGAATTTATTTATATTTATTAAGAGTGACCTGGAATGCTTGTATTCTGTCACTTAATAGATTTGCATCCATTTTTGAAGCCTGGCAAGTAGGCAAAAAAATAATAAGTAACTGGGTTTAATTCTAGCCCCCGCTTCTGCAACTTACTTTTTCTCCTTTTGCTGCCTGCCTGCCATTCAACCTTTCTTACTCTCAACTTCCCTTTCATTCTTACCTGCTTTATTTCAAAAAGTATACTAGTGATTTGTTAGAATACATATATAATATGTGACAATATAGTCTCAATTAAAAGTAGAGCAAGAATAAGAATACATTTACTGAGCCCAGCATAAAATGCAAATTGAATATTATGGTAAATACACTGCTATCCCAGTGGTCACAAATTTAACTGGAGCGTTTGAGTAGCCAATATGAAAAAGGACATCTAATCTACATATTGTGCAGTGTCTATAGTATAAAATACAAATACATTTCTCAAGAAAAGTATAGATAGACCTTGGTATGAAAACAGGAATTCCTTCTGGGGATTCTCATAGAGATGCTATAACACAATGAACAATATCAGCACTTTCCTGTAACGCATCAAGCCCAAAATTCATATCCATCCCAAAGAGTGGAGGGTCCATGTATCCTTCAAGCAGTTCTCCCACAGTTTTTGAGGGGTATTCATTGATTATTTCTTGAATTTCTGCCAGAGCATGTAGTGGTAAAGGGGTATACACATGACGAAGACACTAGCTTCTGNGCCATAAAGACGACGAAATATTGCCATTTGCAACAGCATGGATGGATCTTGATGGTATAATGATAAGTGAAATAAGACAGATGGAAAAGGACAAAGAACATAAGATTTCACTCATGTGGAATATAAAACAAAAATAACAAATGAGCAAACAAAACAAACTCATAGATACAAACAACATATTGGTAGTTACTGGAGGGGAAGTGGGTGAGAGCAGGGCAGAATCTGTAAACGGGGCCAAATGTATGGTGATGATTGGAAACTAGACGTTTTGTGGTGAGCACGCAGCAGATGTTGGATTATATTGTACACCTGAAATTGATGTTATTAAGCAATGTTACCCCAATTTTTAAAAATGGAGTCTTTTGTGCAGAGTATTTAAAAAGTATTTTTGGTTACTCCTTTCTACAATTACAGTATCAATAATAGAAAACATTCTGAAAATTATTGTGCATTATAGTACTAGTGGATATTAATACTACAAATTAACCATACATTTTATAAAATGCTATTTTAATTATATAAAAGAACTTGTCATTTAAAGACATTTGCCGTGGACTCCATTTAAGTGTAAACTTAATGATCACACCTGAAAAAAGAATCCGTATTTTTCTAGACCCATTTTTTTTGCCTTAATTTAAAAAAATATGTCTGAATATAGAATATGTCCCTATTTATTCTTTATAAGGAATAAACACACAGGAAGAAGTATTGTACACTGGTTGAATATTTGAGCTCTGAATTCAGATCTCCCATATTGCCTCCAATTGGCTGTGTGTGACAAGTTGAAGTAACTATCTTAACTTTAATTGCCTCATTTAGAAAATTAAGATAATAATAGCTACCTTATAGAACTGTGACAATTAACTGAGGTAAAATGTATCAAATATTTAACATCTTATTTAATAGAGAAAGCTTCTTAGTAAATAAATGTTATTACTATTAAAATTCTTCGGTAACTTCTATGTTTGATAAGTATTCATTTTAAAATAACAGTAAATCATCGGATTAATTTAAAATATGGGATATACTTTTATTTTTACATCACAGATAATTTTTTCTCTAATATTTTTGTTTTAGGTCACTTTTCACATTGAACCATATAAAAATCGAGATGATCAAAACATGTACGAAAATGTCAAATATATTATAGACAAGTGAGTTTCTTCTGTGTTTGTAATTACTGTTTTGTGATCCAATGATAATTACTGTTATAAGAAAAGTACATTTAAATTATGTTTGAGAGATTTAAATCACTTATGGTCTGACATTAAAATTAATTTAAACTAACTTTGAAATGAATATTG